TTCTCAAAACACTCAATATCTGGGGGGAAAACAGCGATTCCCCGGCGAGCTGCTTCCCTCGATATTTGATGAACGATTTTTCCCGTACTGTATAGCGGATTCCAATCGGATTAATCTTGAATCATCCCTCATTATCATGAAACTGAAGTGTCCATCGCAGCGTTATTGGGGCGATTCGAGAAGTTCCAGTCAGGCATCTCGAGGGCACGGATTGTTCTGGTGCTCTCTTCAGAGCGAGTCCGACTGGCGAAGGCCATCCGACTTTCCTGATTTGACTGTGAAGTAGAGGTTATACTCGCGTCACGAGTGACCAGCTCATCCGGGTATAACTGGAGTCAAGAGCTCGCCCTGGATCCTTCTTGCACACTCAAGGCACCTGGGCATCATTTGTCTTGAAGCCTCTGCCTCCATCTAGGCCTAAGGCTCGGAGTTTTTCTGAGCCAACCCGCTCCCCAATGCCTTGCGCCAAGCAGTGAGATACCTGATTTCTCCTACTTCGAAAACCTCATTCCAATCAGCGACAGAATCCTCTGAAGCGAAGAAGAAGGCTTCTGGAAGGCCTGAATGCAGCGAAGTTGACCATCACAAGTCACCGTTGCTCTGACAGACTTGAGCGATTCATATTAAGTAACGTCGGTCCGCTGTTTGACAAGTTGTCTCCTTCAGCTGGGCCACCATTTCTCGGGGGGCCCGTCATGTGTCAGTTTCGGCCGGAAACCGTACTTCGATGGTTCTCATATCGTTCTGCGACGGAGTGGAGGATACGGGTGACGTCAGATGTTCGACCTTCTGGCGCTCTTTCCACCGTGGGGAGCTACCCTTAGCAGGTTCTGATTGCCCTGCTCCACTAACGAATCATTGGAGCTTATGGTTGTGGGACTGCCTCCACGGAACGGAGATCCCGGCAAGGTTGAAACGAAATCAGCTGTGAATCGATCGTTCAGACTCACTATGTGATGTCATCACTCTGCGTCACCTTCTTCGACAATCGGCACTCTAGCGATGCGAACTCGTCTTGCACTCCTTCCCTCTACTGTCTTGATCAGTCGACATATCCATCGGCTACCGGATGCCGGAGCGATTTCTGAGTGTATGGGAAGACCTCGTAGGTATGGAAATGAGTCTGCGAGGGAGTTTCTGGAGACGAAAAACGAGCTAAGAATCCATAAATGTGTCGCTTGCTTGCTCGGTTCAGAAATGTTCCTCGAGAGGTGTTGGTACCCAAGACGGTTCTATCATTCTGAACAAGGGCCAACTCCATTTTAAGAATAATTTTGTCATGCTCGGCGGGGATTCTATTCGCGAGATGTCGTGCCTTCTGAAATTCTTCGCCGACGAGTATTCGATTTTTTCCACAGCGAGGACTTTCCCGGAAATAATTCAAGCGGCGAACCCTTCGAGGCCTGCGATTTATCTCGCACGAACAAATGGAATGACCGCGGCCTGGGGTCGTGCAATCATCACTAGAGGCCCTTCGAAATCGAACACGGTCCTCGTCTGTCGTTTTGTCCGGTTTCCTCGGCGTCCACCCCGGGACTTTCCGTTAGTTCTGGTAAATCACTCTGTGAATTCGGTTGAAATCTGGTCGACGATGTGGCCCGGAAGAGAAGTGCGGCGGCATCACGTACGTAGTATCATTACCAGATGAGTTCACGCGAACGGGAAGCAGTACATTCTCAATCACGAAGCTCGAGGAGTCCATGGAAGTATACTGCTATCAATTCGAGCATCCGTCCTTCTGAAACTAATCGACTTTCAGCCTATCCGTCAGAGAGATCCTCCGTTTAGCAGAGCGAGGATAATCGGATGCTCATTAGAATGAATTCGTGCGGTATTTCGATGATATTCCGGTCATTCTATCGAATATCCCAGGCGACCTCTTCCGAATGACCGGCCTCTAAATCGACGTTTTCTCGAAATTTCGCTCGAGCCGATCTTGAAATGAGCATGAGTCGGGGACGGGTGAGTTGGGTGCGATCCCACAGACCTCCGTCATTTCCCTGTATAGGAATCTCGGGAAATCGCGGTGGTCTCATCACAATGTTCACTTCTGAACCCTCTGAAGAACGACGGCTCACTTCGATAATCGATTCCAGTTGTTTTCTGATATTCGAATGAGACCCATCCCGAGACGTCCGGTTATTTTGACCGATTATGTCCGTCCAGTTGATGTCTGGTTTCCGTCGAAAAATGTCGGGGTGCGTGGGAACTCTAATCATCACCCTGACTGATTCGCAGGTGGAGTTGAGCAACCCTCATCGAGACTTGACGGTGTTACACACGTTTCCTGTATTACCTAGTGCCATTATCCCTAATCGATTACATATCATGGATCTCCACATCTTACGGACGCATTTTGTGCGCCCTTTCGGGATCCTGAGACCCTTCCGTGCTAGTCTCACTGTACAGGAAGGAGGTGGCGTAGCGACCTTGAGCTGTGCGAACAATATTTCTTAGTCGGACAAAGAAGACACATCCCCGGTTGTCGGAATGAAATCCGTTCAGCGGAATCGTAAACCGAACGGGCTATCTGATTCAAGGGACGCTCATGACCTACGTGATGGAAATTCACCGGAAGCCCTGCACTGTTTTACGCAACGCGTAATGCAAACTGCTGCCTCATTTCGCTCGAATACGCTGTACATACAAGATCAAGTCATCTCTCGGTTCATGAGAGTCTTCAGAAGCGCTAGGATTTTGTATCTTAGCCCCGGGGAATCTCTCGATATCGTCGACGCATGTACATATGTAGGTATACTCAACCAAAGCAGGACCGAACTCCCGAGCTAGGGACCAGGTATTGGTTTCATTAGCTACATATTGTGAGACTCTTTCGCCTTTGGGGTGAGTGTCACTCATCGGGTGTAACATTATACAATTCGAAAGCTCATGCTGCACATCAGGATTTCTCCGTCCCCTAGGACGAGTTAAGAATACAGCGATCGCGCTGCTGCGATATGCCTGGTGAGTCGAGACCACTAACCGGGCAAAATTGCCGGCTTGGGATAGTGAAAGCCGTGAGCTTCTAAAACCGTCCGACGACTTGGACGAATCGGCGAACGTTTCACTCAGTTCCGGAAACTCCGACTCCTGCTGATCTTGACGGATCCTTCATGACCGAGCTTTTCTCGTGCCTTACGTTTTCTGTCCGCAAAAGCGATGGCTCCTGTGGTCCGGGGGTTCGATGAAATAGTGCCCACTGTGGTATGGACCAAACCGAGAACCCCGCGTGATGTCGGGAATCTTATTGCCGCTTCTTGAGGAACACTGTGTTGGAATGTCTCGTATATCTACGATTCAGACCAGATATTCGCCCGGCCGCGATTGTCGACAGCCGCTCGCGAACTGCCAGAATTTCGAAACCTTCCAGGGCCGGAGTGACCGCGGGTGTTCTTTATCACTCGCTTGAAAACATATGGAGCATCGGAAGCGGATGTTCCTCCCGACTGCAATCGCAATAGGCCATGTCAACTTCGAGAGCGCTTGAGACTCAAGCGCCTGTAGCATACGCCGCGTCGTCCCGGACAAATATTTCCTCCCCAAATACATATTACCCCGTCTGGCAAATCATTGTAGAGGACCAGGGAACATCGAGTCCTGTACAACCGCGACCAATGAGGGATTTCGATGCAAAACTTTTAAGGTAGGGGATTGTGGCAGATGCAAACTCTGCGATGATGGGAATCGAGTCCCAGGGACCCCAAGAAAAATCAGTGAGCCGCATGAATGGCCCGGTTAGAAAGTTTTCTCGACTCCCAAGAATTCCACAATTATTCATCATTGAGCTTGGCTCACGGACCCTATTCAAGTCGGGGAAATCAGGGTTCTCTCCGCTCAGCCCCATGCTAGGTTTTGGATCCTCAGAATTCCTTCACCTTCCCCGACAGGGGAGACCTTGGAAGAAGAGGAAAGCTCTTTCAGCCAACGCTAGTGCGGCGGCGCGGCGGTCGTCAGAAGGACCACCACCACCAGATTGTCGAAATCTAGGGTTCGCGAGCAAGCAGCCGGGGTTCACAGCACGACTGAGGCGCGGAGCGTGGCTACGGGGGCTAATGACAATCGATCAATCGAATTCAAATATGAAGATGACAATGTGGTGGTCTGCTTCTAGAAAGGGCGGGACCCAGAGGGAAAAACTCTTGTCAGTGCTCCGACGGCAAATTTCCCGTATGCCCTTCGTCGTGTAATCAGTTCGCGGCGTAATGCCCGAGCTCCTCATGCTGTCTTGAGCGGCTATCGAGGCGATGAACTTTTTCCCCTCATGACAGCCAGAGGTTTGAGCCATCCTTGTGATGGAGGTGAGAAACCATGGACCACTTTTTTTTCTGACGGCGCAAGTAGTCCGAAGCCTTATGAGAACACAACCTTTCGCTTGAGAGGAACCCCGGAGGAGTTTCCGAAAGCCAAAGACAGCGCACGATCATCGTACCCACTCCTCTGAGTTATCCCCGAAGGACATCCGATGCTGTATTCTCATCGCCCGGAAATCCTTCGACGTCGGCGCGGAGCGCGGAAACCTCCCGATGCTCCGCTCTGAGACATCAAGGCTCCATTCCAACAGCTTCAAGCAGAGATTTTTCAGTGGGGACTGAGCCTTCGGTACAATATGTTTTCTACGTCGGGCACGTGAGCGCAACGTTACGTCATGAACAATCGTAGCGCGGGTAGGTTCACAATACAGCTGATACGGCTTGCTAAGCGCTTTTCTTAATGGATGTGGTTGCGTCCGCCCCTGTGGAAGGGTTCCTCCGACCTTGCGGTGCCGAAGCCCGGGCTTGCGTGAGGAGTCGCTGCGAAAATTTTCCATTGGGCCGGATCTTCATGTGCAAGTATTCTGACGCGTACATTCAGGGGCACGTGTCGGATGGTCGCCCTAGCCGAATAGCTCCACTAGTGGCTCGGTGCTTTGTCAGCTACAAGCCCGACTCTCCGCTGTTACTGCAAGTGGATGACATCCCTTTCCGTGGTCGACGTGCGTTTTCGATGCCGCTTTCCACTAGCTCTTCCGTGAAGCTGCGGACGGCCTGGCCTGACCGTGGTTTGGCAGATCGCGCGGCTCAGCGTCGTTTGAGAACGAGGAGTGTCGGAAACAGAAGTACCACTACCCATCGGATTGCAGCACCGCACAAGCGTGAGTCGAAGCTCTTCCGGTTGGCGGTCTTTCATAACACGCGAAGCTTTCGTAGCGCGCTGCGTCTTTCAAACTTCAATTGTATAATAGTAATCCGTTGACTCACCCGCTCGGTTCGGGAATCATCAGTGCGACGTTTACTTGAGTTTTCGCTGGCTGCGTTTCGTCGAGGAGACCGGTACGGAGAACGGCCGGTCCAACTCCTCGTGAATACCCTCATGTTCCACAGAAACTTTCTTCCGATAGACAGTATTCCCAGCGCCGATCTCTCCGCGCTGTTAAGTGCCTGTCTTGAGTTTCGCGAGGCCCTCAGAAGACCAAGTCGAGTGATCCCGGTCAGTTGAGAGGAGACTCTGTCTTTGGTCATGACCGGTTCGAGACTTGAGCCTTCGCTAGTTTCACTTTACCCTCGACGCGGTCCATTCTCTGGAATTTGCGAGGCGAAGAGGGATCAGCATAGACGCTCAGTCATGAGTTCGTCCCTAGAGAGAGGCCTCGAGAGCAAGAACGTTTCCGGCGATTCATTCGCTCCCCGCTGGAAGGAGTGTGAGAATCGAGACCTGTCAGGCGACCGTGACCCTGCCGAAAATTTTCGGTCGTAACACTGAAGCAAGGATTCGAAATGAGCGCCACATGATTCGGAGTCCTAGATTCTGCCTTCCCCCGAAAATTCAACTGCCGACCTGATCCCCCGGAAAATCTTGTGGCGATACTGACAGAAGTATCCGAAAAGAGCTGACTTCGCTGGTTGGGACCACCGTATGGAGGTTCCCAAGCCGGAACATTCCGGATTTTCGCACCGAGCACCCATTCGGTCCAGAGTCGCCTGCTCTCAATGCGGTCCCACGAGGTGAACTATCTCTCAAGGCTGCCCCTCGACCCTCAGGGTCCAAGGAGAACCTAATTACGAATCACGAGAGAAGAGGCCGCACCTCACAATTCGATATTCTCTCAGCGTTCAAGCGGGCGTTCCATTGAATGGCAAGCTCAGGTTCGACGTTACACTTCATGTGAAGGCTGCGTGATTGTTATTACGAGAGTCGTGGCCCCACGTTTTTTTATTGATGACCATTCGCTAGTCGACCAGAAGCTTCAGTTCCTTGACACCATGATCCAATTTGCCCTGCTTCGCACTATCAAAGTTCGACAAACCCTTGGAAATTAGCCGAAAGTGGATAGATTCTTTCGTGACTCTGGCCAGATACATTGGCGAAAAACAGCGCCGAACGCAGCGCCGAAACTTATAAAATGCACGGGTATATCAATGATGCTCCTTATTCACATTCGACGTGCCTCTCCGGGCGGAAGGGAGAGCATGATTCAGCATTCAGCAGACTCATAGAGGCTCCCTTCAGATTTCTCCGGAGTGAAACACCTTCGATCGGAGTTGAGCCCTGTCGAGCCTGACAGAGAGCAGCTGTGTGCTGTCCATCGGTCGCAGTATCAATTCGGATCCATTCGATAATATTTTCCTGACCCCTGAGTCCCGCGGCTTCCTGTTTTTATTTTCTCCCCCATATTGATGAAGAACAAATGATAAAACTCAAATATATTTAGATAAACAACTCATACTTCGAATTTCGTGTTTACATCGCTCATAGAAAAATTCTGAGGTAACGGCATCTCCCAAGGTCTGAATCGGAAGAATCAGGGTTTTCCGCTCAGGTATCACTGATCCAAACGGATGTATGTGACTTTGTTCATGAACGCCTGCGGTTTTGAAACAGTTGCGGTCATCGCTTCAGAATTAGATACGCGCCATTCCCGAATTCAAGTTCTTCTTTCGAAGGCATAGAACCGTGGCGAATCGGATCGACATTTGAGTTTTCGTCTTCTTAATCTCCCTGTGAGATCACACCCGCAAGCCAATTCGCTCTCGCTTTCTCGATGAGCCCGTTCCAATTCGACCACGTCTGGGGTATGTGGAATCCCAGAGACCAGGTGAATTGCGATTGATGAACTCTCACCATGTGACAACCACCTACAGGTTATCAGTCATGGATTCAATGCCCTCGCTTCCGATACCTGAAGCTTTGACTGTGCCAACGGCGGAACCGGCGATAGCATCGCCGGTCATACTTTTGATTTCTGGATTGTTCGCTGTGGTTGCGGTTTTCGCGCTGTTATGCAAAGTTTACGCTCTTGTGACCGAGGGGCATTATGTCTGCCGCAAAGACCTGACCGGGAAAGTTATCATCATCACAGGATCGAATACAGGTGAGAGTAAATTATTGCCTTCTGACTACTTTTGATTACCTACTCGAGACATCGTCAAAGGTATCACTCGAGGTGTCACGTTTATCTTGAATGCTTATCGCGGATGCTTATCGCTTACCCAGTCCACATCCGGAACCGACGGTTCACGAACCTCTTCGACGCGAGCGATGCTTGATATCAGCCACGTGAATATGATACTGAGATATTCTTATTTTCTCCCTCGAGACTAAAAATCGCAAAAGATCCATAACCTTATTAGGAAGTCCTCGACAAACCGAATCCGTTTCGCTTCTCTTCGGCAACTCTCTGTATAGAGCTTCCTCTCTCCTCGGGAGTTTCTGTTCAAGTTTTCGCAACTTTGATTCTCTCTTGGCACTCTGAGGGATCGGGAAAGTCAAACCTCACTATCAGAAGGAGACCATCATTCGACATCTCCGTTGTCTCGGAAGTGCAGCCGAAGGTGGGCCTGAGATTCGGCGTGCCCGGTGACGCGAGCTCCATCTTCACATTGAGGCATTGGGAGCTCCGTCGATTGAGGTCGCAATCCTCAGAAGACTCATCAGACACTTCAGTCAGTCTTCAGACCCTTACGACCCCTCAAAATTGAGCAAGAACGGCCCAATGACGAAATCTCACCCACAGTCGAGCAAATGTTCTGCGTCTTAAAAGCTCAACGCTGATCGCAGGTTTCCACAATCATGTGCCTCATGAAATGGGACTATTCTGGCGACAATCAGGTTCGATTTCTAACTCGAGTCAGGTCCCGTTAATCGTGGAACCGCAAAAAAACATGCAAGCTCCCGACGCTGGGGTCGGGATCCCCTGAATTCACCAATCAAGGATCATAAAACCCGACTCCAACATTCAGTTGATTATTTTAGTCAGAGGGGAACCGGAGCTAATAGGTCACCCGCATCAGCCTCTTCCGGGAAATTCTTCCTCCGACTTTGTGCGGCCTTTCGAAGCATGTCCAGACACATTTCGACCTGAGATTTGGAATGTTCACCCTCCATGTAGCGTCCTGGGACATGGGTGAATATAAGACTATATAAATTCTTGCTCTGAGGGATGTGTGAGTTGGTGGTTTCCATGATTGCTGTGAAGGATGATCCACAGTTGAGGCGCCAGCGTGCTGGAAGATATTGCAAGACGTTTCGTTATCGTCGTCCAGCGTCCGACGCGACGCTGGAGGGTTCGCCATGTTGTGTGATCCTCCTAAGGAGCAAACACAGTACCATGGGACGATGGGCTGCAGAAGTCGAATTTTGAGCTCCCTCCATTGCTTCCCACAATAGAACTATATCGCCAGGACTCTGAGTTCGAATCGTCGTTCGCGAGCTGACCCAGGAGATATTCCGCCGAGCCCCGCGTCCGGATTGTAGCGGAAGCCCGCGCGGCATTGTTCAGGCCGTATTTGCTCCGGCGGATGCTCCCCGCGCTTCACCGGTATAGAGCCAATCACTTGTTCCGGATGAAAGTCGCGATATCGAGTCTGCCTTCCGTCGACATAGCTCCGATGAAGACCTTCGAGCGATTTGGGATTCATTATCAGCGTGATTCCCTTGACTGAACAGAAGAGAATGACACTTGCAGCACAGAAGAAAGTTTCAGGCGACAATATCTGACATCGCATACATGCGATGGTTACCTGCTTGCAAGGTCTTGTCTCTTGTTGGCCACAACTTCTGGACAGCCCCGAGCTGCGGTGCGTCCTGAAAATGACGTGGTATTACGCTCGTTCCTCTAATGAACAATTATCTAATATGCACTTACGGAGGTATTCTCCACCACGGAGCAGATCTGAGCGAATTCCAGAATATTTCAGTATCAACACGTGAATGTTCGTGATGTTCGACGCGATAATCACACCTCTGGAAAATCCCCTAATTAGTCATTCTGTGCAGCTTTATCGGAAATACTGATTGATCGGTTAAACAACCCGTTTGACGAATGTTTGTCGCTATCGTCCGCTCCATGTACACCGTGGTCTTCCTTGAAAAGAACGCGCACAGCTTCTTCGATGGCGGCACTCGTTCGCTAAATCAGATTGAGACCGGGCTCAGAAAATCGCTCGACGACGCTATTTTAATCACGGAAGAGAGGTGTTTGTCTCGCAAGTCCCCGACTGAATCAAGAACAATCCTTGACTGGAAGTCGCTGTTCCGACCTTTCACTGATCGATCGCCGGATCTCTCAGCAATTTTTCTCTCCATCCAATACCCTCACGTCGGAAATTCGTGATCGTTCGATTCGAGCATGATCAATCTCAGAACTTCGATTCCTCAACCTTCCCGAGGCAGGCTTCTTGATGGATTCGACTGGATGAATGCGTAGCTTGCGGAGGGGCAAGGGCATGGTCTAGAAAAATGGAGATTTCCGGACCGCGAAGGATATTTTCTGGGTTTTTTTCAAAATTGGAGATTTCAGGCTTGGGGAAAACCACGGCGATGGCTCTGGCCCAGTGCGGGGCGAGAATTATTCTGGCTTGCCGGACTATGACCAAAGCAGAAGCCGCACGAGATGAAATCATCAAGGAGACCGGCAATAAAGACATACACTGCAAGAAGTTGGACTTGGCTTCGTTTAAAAGTGTTCGAGAATTCGCAGCCGAAATCAACGCTACCGAGAAACGATTAGATGTCCTGATCAACAACGCAGGTCTACTGAGTGAGTGCCAGCCTGATTATCGAGGATGCGTCCGGGTCTCTGAACGAATAAGGCTGGACATGGAGCCTCAATCCCGGTCAAGTGGTCTGAGGGATCTCGGATGACCGACCTGGCGAAAACGAGGGGTTTTTAAGGCATCTCGACTGTTGCAGCGCCCGCTGAACATATGATAACCGAGGACGGTCACGAGGTTTCGATCCAATCGAATCATCTGGGGCATTTCCTCCTCACAAACTTATTACTGGGTGAGTCGCAAAGATTGTTCCGCATAGAAATCAGAGTTTCGCTGATAGCAGCAAGAATCTGAGATCATCTTCCCCTCAGGTCTCTTGAAGAAAAGCGCTCCAAGTCGGATTGTGGTCGTAGGATCATGTGGCCAATGGTTCGGCAATATGAACCCCGAGAAACCCTTGAACTTCTCGCGGTATCACTTTCCGCTCTTCAATTACTGCTCCACGAAAGTACTCAATATGCTTTTCACGGTCGAGCTGAGCTGGAGATTAAAGGTCAGAAGCTCCTACTATCCCATCTGGCTCCTATTTCCTATCGGACGCGGATCTCCGTGAGATGTCATCCGTTGTCTGAGGGACCTTGGAGCATTTCACGGAAACTTCTCACACCTATCGGGACTCATTCCTCTCTATGCGCAGGACTCAGGCGTAACGGTGAATTGCGGTCACCCCGGGTTCGTACAGTCTGACTTCGGAGTCGGCGACGATTCCTACCAAGCTTGGCTCTTCACGCGGCTGCTGAAGCTCTACGGAAAGGTGCGAGATTCCTAATATTCATGGGGGGCACCCCAGATACCCGCGTACGCGACACCTCTGAGGGGTAGAATGACACTTTGGAGCGCATGAGGGCAAATTTCCTCGTCGATAAGGGACCGATGGGAGAGGGAGGAAATATTTTCAGAAGGGGCACATGGTAGAGGGAATGCTTTGTATTCGACTCATGTCATCCTCGGGCACCTCTATCGAAGGACCACAGATCGTTCACGGATGTTTTTCTTACAGACACCCGAAAAAGGCGCCATGACTAGCGTCTATCTCGCTACGTCGGATGACGTCACCACATCGGGACGATATTTCGCAGACTGTAATACAGCCATCGCGCCCTTCTGGGCAATTAATAAGGGCAAAGCAAAAAAGCTCTGGGAGGTTTCGGAGCGCATGACCGGTTTGGCTTTCACGGCGTGAAGGATCGCACGTATTCCACATTTTCTCATACCTTCGCCTAGCTTGAGCGCAATCGAGACATGGGGTTCCTCTTCTGCAGTCGTTGTTACTCCTCTCCGATCGCCGCGTCTCGAAATAATCGATGCAGTCGACATTGTATATTTATTAGGATGAAGACGATATTATGAAAGAGAGTTTCTATTGTTTAGTTTAGCGAATTTCAATTTCTTTGCACGCGAGTCCACAAAAGAATCCGTGGGAACGAATGTATGTCACGAACGTCCCTGCGAACTTGTAGAAATTGCGGAGATCCGCCCTCTTCCCTCTTCGGCTGCTGGAGAGAGTTCGACGCAGCTGTTGCTGGCGGATCTTTCCAAGTGTTCTTCTGCATCCATACTGTGTATAATAATTTTAAGAGTTGCGTGTCGGTCGCCTCTCTGATCGACCGACGAGTCCGGCTGAGAAGTTTGAGCCATCATCTTCTTGCTCTTCTCGACTGACTCCCTGTGTTCCCCGAATTCGAGTCCATCCTCTCCAAGAACAACACGAAATTCCGACGGCCCAAGCACTCTGGCCAGAAGCCAGAGAGACCGCTCATGTCGTATAAGACCTCAGTTAGATCTTGCATTTCCATGAAGGCAAATAAAAATTCAGAATTCTTATTAGAGTTCTTAGAAAAGCGATAACGGGAGTAGTCGAAGCACGTGTCCAGGAATCCGAGGACGTGAGCGATCGAGGTTGCTGGAACATCATAATATGAAGACTGATGATGATTTTTCATTTACAGGCTCCCTGCTAATGAGCTCCACTTATTTCGGGCGTAGGTATCCGGCGGGGTGCTCTGTCTGGCCATCGACATTCTGGGAATGCACTTCAGTTCGAAGCCCAAGCTGCCCGCGCCAGATCTGCACGCACGTGGGTCGATTCGGAGCACCAATGACTGCCTTCAGGAGTCGGAGGATTCGGAGACTTTGATTGCCTTGTCTGGAGCTCCGGATCACTCGGAGCGCTCGATCGCGAACCGTGTTGCCCTCTCGAAGGGAAAGGAGTATAGAGGAGGTCAAGCTTTGATTCTACCTTCGATTGTGGGATGTCATTCAATCGTGGCGACCCGCCCGCAAGTTCGGGGGGGGGGGGCTCCGGTCCATTCAGCCAGCTTCTGCCCAGCGAGGAATCCAGCCAAACTGTGAGGGTGAGAGAATACGATATTAGGTGTTTCTGAAGCGTATATTGCCGACTCGATCTGATCTACATAGAAGCAATGAGCGCAAATAACGCCATCCACTAGAGAATCCGAATTCTCTTCGAATCAGCCTGAATGTGACCCGCGAATAGTACCGTAGTACGGTGGTATTCGCGCGGTAAGACCGAGAAGGAGAGAAGCTCGTTGGAATTTGGAGATGACTGTAGTACGACACCTATCGCCGGAGTCTCGCTTGGACCGGGCTCTGCGATTGATAAAATCACACAGCGGAGAGAAACCGCACAAATCATCATCACCGTTCTAAAGGAGTCCTGGCTTTCGGATCCTTCACCGAGGAATCCGTGATTGATGGAGAGGGAATCAAGAAATTCCCCAGAACTTCAGATCAGCATTTTTCCAGGAATTCGAGATGGGGAAAATGAATATTTCACATCCCTACCGATATCACAAGCAGCAGAGATAATGATCGAGGTCGCTCGGAGTCTCGTATCAGGTTTCTGATTCGCCGATTCATTCACAGCGAAGATAAGCCTAAAAAAAACGGGGAGCATCTCTAAAGTTCGAGCCCGGGCTTGGTCCCCTGACTCTGACCCTTGCTGGAAATACGCCCGGATGAGCCAAGTCGTTCATGAGCCCGTTCCGGACCTGATCCCGGAGCCCGTTGAACGCCGACAGAGGATGTCAACGATGTACGGTTTTGGTTCTCTCTATCGTATATAGCGCAGTCATTCTAAGGACTCTGAGCTGGCTTTCCCTTCACATTCTTTGGCGCGATCATCCTAGGGTCTTGAGAAGATATGCCTCGTGAATACCTTGTGGATCTCCTTCCCCATGGATATTTGAAAAACCATGTGGGCTTGACTTCTCACAGCTCTCGGTCACTCGCTTAGGATCCTGCCGCGGAATCAGCATCGACATACAGGATATTTTCCGTAAAGCTCGTCAATATCGCTCTTCATCTATATGCATGCCTTTCATTTGGACCTTCTCCCTTGAAGAGCGGATCCTCTTCGGAACTTGAAGCCACGGCTCCATACCTCGGGAAGCTTTACATCAGGCTGCGATCAACTCTCCTCACGCAATCACGGCAGTGCCCGCATGGCTATGATATTATTGCTCGCACGTTCGAAGAAGCTCACTCAGCAAAGAAAATGAGTCTCATCCGCAAAGGCTGCCAGGAGGGCAGAAAATCATTCATATCAGTAGTCATCGTCTCCATGCAAAAGACGTAGTCCTGTCCTCCACTGGTCCTGATTGTTCATATGACGTTGAGCAATCGTTTCTGGATGCCGGTCTCAGCCGGAAGCTTACGCTCGATGAGAGGGACGGTTTTCAGCGACGGCAGGACTCATCTTAGTCCCCAGGCAAGCGAGAGAGCCCTCGCTCCTCCAGACTTGGGAAAATGGGATGGAGAAATTTTCTCGCGATGAAATTAAACATTCGCGACCATCCCTTTTCAAGTCAATCCCAGACTCAGAGGGCACGGTGTTCTTCCGCTAGGGAAAACAAGACAAAGAGGATGCAATGTACCACCACCATGTAGAAGGAATAATTATTATTAATTGCAATCGAAGCCGATATACTGAAGGGCGCATCGCGCATGACCCTGTGGGGTAAACATTGTCCCGACTCTCCGGGATACAGTTACTCGAACCGACCAAGCCTGGGTTCCTCTGCTCCGCTCATCTGAGGACTCGGTATTCTCAACAGAAGTTTTCCTCCCAGAGACGATAGCGGAGCAATCTGACTGCGATATGCCGATGTTATCTGCGTGTCCTCTTCTCCAGGTTTTATTCGAGGTATTTTTCCCGGGGTAGGATGGTGGTGGTGGTCCCCGGCTCCGAAGGCAGGGTGGTCGACGACCTTCATGTAAACGAACGAAGAACTTTCATCAGAAATATCGTAAGGCGTCTCCTATCGTTGAGAAGATAACTGGTTGCGTCGATAGTTCACAGTGCGGACAGACTTTCTGGACGCTAACCAAAAGGAGTTCAGAGCGGCCGAGCACTACGACCGTCGACTTTCTGTTTGAAAATTCGCTCTGGCGCGATCTCAACTCCACGAAACTATATAAACCGCGCGAAGCGACAGATCATCAGACACACTGCCTCGTCTACAATCATGATCGCTGTGAGTTTCCCCACGGCAGCATAGCGCACCCTATAATGCCTCATTCGAGAAGATTCTGAAGCCGGAAACTCGCAGTCCCTTTTGTCTTCGCCGATCTCTGAAGAAGGCTCACCTTCTCTTCCAGGTCATCGCCTTCATTGCCCTAGCCGTCTCTGCCGCTCAGGCCGGCCTCATCGGTCACGGCGCTGGTCTCGGAGGACTAGCTATCAACCATGGAATCGGTCTCAACAGACTCGGTCTCGGTCACGGAGCCATCGTTTCTGCCGTCCCCGCTTTGATCTCGGCCCCTGCTGTCGCTTCCGTCGCCTCTCCCATCATCGCTTCGTCTGCTGTCACCAGCCGAGCTGACGCATGGACCCCGATCGTGGGAAAGGCTCTTGCTCCCGTGGGAATCGCCAAGCTCGGAATCGCTTCCGCTCCGATCGGTCTCGGTCTTGGAATTCACGGCCTGGGTCTCGGAGGACTCAGCCTCGGTGGTCTCAACGGAGTCGGACTCGGACTCAAAGGATGGTAAATCGACAAGAGCTCAATAAATTTCGATTCGATCGCGAATACATATCATGTCAAAAAAATCAGCTGAGCGGTATCGACAATTACGAAAAATTCTCCGTTCGACTAGAATCAAGCGTAAGATCGCCGAATCATCTTAGCTTTTCCCTTACCGCGGGCGGATTCTGCATAATTCAAGGAACGCCATCTCGGGCGAGAGCTCATCGCTCCGTATCTCGGCGCATCCTTCCCGCAGCGCTATCTTGTCTGATATGCGGAGGCAATGCGAGGGCTTTGTCCCGCTCATGCCGGCCGTCTGCTCAGATTTGGCGGCGCCCAAACTACATCGAGGGGCTACGCCGTCTCATTGAGGTGCTAAGGCAAATCGAAGCAATGTCCATCGGTGAGGGGTCAGGGGTTGCCTCACTCGGCACCGGAGCTCAGGCCCACGGAAACACCGCGGGTTCGGAAATGTCCATCAATTTCGAGCCGATAATGTTTACGCGCCGAACTAGGTGGAGCACAGGGACGTCGTCGGTGAACTTGATTTTGCGCTTGTGAATGAGTCCAGTATTCGGTCTTCCTGATCGAAACCATAAGAGGCTGGCTGTGCTTACCTGTTCGAGTGAAATTCCAATTATTTCTCGTGCACTGTGACCTACACGTACAATGAGTCTGTAGACTCGACAATGGAACTCCCCGATCAAGAGATCGATTCCTTGAACGAGAGTGTGCGCGACTCTGCGACTACGCACAGTCATCGAATCTCTAATTCTGTGGCTGGGGATCACTCCAAGAACGCGTCTGGTTCTCACGGGTCATGATCGCCGTCGAGTCCTTGTGCCCATCGGAAACTTTTGCGGCGGGAATTTCCCAATGGACAGAGGCGCGACGACGGAGACTCCTGTCCAAAGCGGAATCCTGCTGCCAGGAGAACGAGACCTCAGCCACGAAGACGTCATCACCGCGTCTCGTGAGATTGATGTTCGTTCCGTTCTGTCTCGCTGGGATCGTCGAATCACCAGAGGCGGTGTGGACCGGAAAATCCGGCGTGCTCTTCAAAATATACTCGGGAATCCTCTGCATATTGACTTTTGCGGGATGTTTCAGAACTCTGTATTTCTCCTACCACTACGATGTCGACCCTCTGCTCGGAATTCTAAAACCGAAACTATCGTTCTACAGTCGACTAATTTATACGATTGTCGCTGTCAACGCTTTCGGTTGCCGTTTGTTGTGTTTCAGAATGTTCAACTTCGGATACAGGGATATCACGGATGCCTACCGAAGACTTTCGAGTGAGTTGAAAAAAAAACAGCTTTGCAACGAAACCCGATGCTCGTGTCTCGTGTGTGGTGTGTGAGGATTCATTATCCATGATGGACTATCACTGTAACCAAGAGATGACGATTTCTGTCCGCAGGGGATCCGGTTCTGAGCAAAAGTCTACAGCTGCGGACCGGGCCCTTCATATGGTTCCACTTTGGGATTAACTTCGCTGTTATATCTTTCTTGGCTCTGAACTTTCGAATCTGTCTGGCACTCATATCGGAAAAGCTACCCGATCTGGACTCGATCATCATTTTGGTGACCAGCGTTGTTTCTGTATTCTCAACCGCCTACGGTCATGGATTTCTCTCGCTCATCGCAACCATGATCGTGTGCGATGTTCTGAGGCGGAGTCGGAGTTTTTTCATCGAAGCGGTCAGAACCCGGCGAGTTGAGGTGCTCCGTGTGAGTTGCGTCGACGACTTTCGATCCCATTTCCTAAAGTCTAAGGTCGAAAGACTTATTTCCGGATGTGTTCTCTTTCAGGAGGCCATCCGGCTGCATTGCAAGGGACATGACTTCGTCAAAGCCGTGAACATTGTATTCAGGAATCTACTCGGCATGAGTCTGACCGCGGCCGTCCCTCTGTTTTCGACCGTCTGCACTTTTTTAACGACGTCGCAGAGCCATGCTATAACGGAAATGATGATTCTTATGTACATCGCTGTCACTTCTTCAATCTTCGCCGTAATTGTCTCAGTCTCCGTCGCGGCCCGGGTCAACAATGAGGTAAGCGTGTTTGCAACTATTTTGGAATGAAGGAGCGTTCACGGCCTTATTGCGACAAAAAAAATCAAGACGTTGATTCACGTATTCGAAGCAGCGATATTTATGAACGCGGCTAACAAGGACTAAGTTTGATCGTCAGGACCCTTGCAGCTAGAGATGCACGCCGAAGTATTGAGGAACGCCGACGTCGACGACGAAGCTTTCGAAAGAATTGCCAACCGATTCCTGCGCCGCTTCAATAAACGGCCCGGATTCACTTTTTTCAAGTTCGGGACAGTTACCAGAGAAACACTGCTGACGGTATAGTCCCGAATGCACGCTCAGAACGATTGACCCTAGATTTTTTCGGATCTGCCTGGAAAGGGGTACTTTGAGGGGTACCCACCTACCTAAATTGAGTTTCCCTGGAAAATCTTACTACGTAGATTATCACGGTTTCAGGCCTTCGGACTTATGACGAATTACTATATCGTGGGAATCCAACTGGACAACCTGAACAAATGAAAAAGCAACAGCCGTCGACGTGGAAGCGCGGGTGGAACCCAGCTGCGAGAGATTACGACGCGACATTCGAAACAACGCTCGGGTTCCACCACGGCATTGACCACATAGTGGGTACTGATTGTGAGATTCTCGACGGAGTATGATGCTCACGATCAGATGCGAAGCCAGCCGTCCCTAAGTGGAGATCCAAGTCCCTTTCCTCACCCAGCTCAAGTCCTCGATTTCACGGAGAACTTCAAAACGACTATAGGTCATTCCAACGAGGGAAATACGAAAGTGGTTCCCTGTGAAATGCAACCTCAACTGATTGTGAGCTGAGCAGTCGATCAAAGAAGTATCGATTCTCTGAATGAAGCTCCGATCAAGAGGGAATCGCCCGGAGATAGGATTTTCGGGACTCGATGGAAGAAGCTGGATACCCTCCCTGCTGATGCGCGTTCTTGTAGTCCCGGAGCCTCGACTTCTCAGTGCATCATTTTCACGCGAATGGGCATCTCGAGAGCCATCGCCCGGAATATTTGCGAATTGGAAAGCCTACTGAGATCGATTAGATAGCCTTTCTCTCATTGTGAGCCGAGCACTCATGAACGAGGCTGTGAGCCGCTGCGATCCCCCCTCCAATCGTTTCAGACTCGGGAAACTTTTTTCCGTGACCAATCTCATTCGGAGCTTCCCTTAGGCGACCGACTCGCACTTCAGTGTCCAGCGGAACATACACGAGTATCGCAGCGGAGTCACTCGGCGCGTACCTGTTGAGCAAGTGGCCGCTTCCTTCTGAGTGCGGCCATGCTGTGGAGAGGGCAACTCTTTCAAAACAGCTGAGGCAGGGGTGCTCGCAGCTGTACTATGATCGGTACACCCACAATGAAGTACTCCAGCTCGTACCAAAATCACGCTGGAAACGGATCGAAGTGCTGACAGTTCTTGGAGGGATTCGGTGAGAGGATGTCGATGAAACTAGGTTTCCGAAGTTTCCTGCTGCTATTTCTGCTCGACTTCGGCAGGACAGAAGACCAGGAAATTTGGTGCAGGAATCCGGACGGCAAGCGAGTTGAATGGTTTGTGATCACTCTCGTTTGACGAAGAACGAAATCACCTCTCAAGCACTTCATAGAATACCTCTCTTCCCTCCTCCAAATACAACTCAACTCTATCGCCTCATAAATCAACCTCCCGATTCTGACATCCGTCATTCCATTGGTCACAGGTTTGTCGTGTACAAAGTACCGAAAACAGCTGGTCCCAGGCCGAATTCTCCACGTGATTCCCTCGACGGTTCGGAATACGGTTACGCAGACTCGAAGACGGTGAAAAACTCTGAGGCAAGCCCCACCACTGAACCGTATTCACGGACAGGCGATCAGATCGTCTCGAAACGGGAAAAAGCAGGTTGTTAAATTACGAATCCCAGAATCATGACAAAAAACTATTGCAGGCTTTCGTTGAGGGGAAAAACGGGATCTTTAGCGAGAATGGCAATCCAATAGCGAAGTCACTCACGCGCCTATTTCAACGTCAAAAAGCTCGAGCAGATCGGGTGAGTCATTCCTACGATTACCGTGAAGGAACCGATACCTACAGCACGGGCATCGAAGTTCAAGGGTTTTCCCGGGGGAACTTCTTCGAGAAAGGCGGAGATTCGATCTCCCTTTTTCTTTCTAAGCGTTCAAACGCCGGAGGGTAGTATCATAAGAAACACTCTGACTCCTTCCCCTAGAAGACACGGGAGTCGAAGCATTGTCTGAGTCGATTGCCCTTTCTGATCCTCAGGAGTTGACATACATCGTTTACAATGACAAACCGCCTCCAGAACTGTCAAATTCAACCTCGAATGGCCACACAAAAGGCGTTGTTCTTTTTGGTGCGCGAAGCGGACTTTGGCTCGTGCATAGCGTTCCGAAATTCCCGGAGAATATCTTTTCTGGTTCCTACTCTTTCCCCAGCAACGCGAGGGAGAACGGTCAAAGCTTCATATGCATCACCATGGATTCAGAAGAATTGAATACTGTCGGTAAGTCTTGGAGCGGGTGTGGAACGGGATGCTGTGACTGCCTGGTGAAAACTACAGAGTCGGGTTGGATCGTCCCACTGCGGAGATGCACAGACATATACATTCCTTAGGAGCGAAATTCAATCGCGGCTTTGTTGGGAGAAGATAATTATCATAATAATAATGATGATGATTACGATAAGAACAAGTTGTCAATTCCCGTAGCGAAACATCTGCGCAGACAGAACCCGAACATGTACGCCTCGAGCGCGCCCCCGAAAATCCGTTCGAAATACAATGAACTGGATCTTCTGCTTGACAAGAAGTATCTTCGAAGTCAACCCTATTCACTGAAAGACCTCATACCGGCCATCAACGGGACCGTGTTCACCGCTTTTGCGAAAGGCGGTCCCCTGAACAAAGGTGGGTGAGGCTGGGAACGCTCGATCTATCCATCCCTCAGTAGATGTTGTCTTCGCTAGCGACGATCGCCCGATTCGTCGCAGACTGCGCTGCTTCGGAGGCTTGGTTGAATGCGTCGATAACCCTGTTTGAGATCAATTATTAGGGATCGATTCCGTCTATTCCAGATATTTATTCCGGCGTCATAGCGCCGGCGTTGGAAACGGATCTTTACGTTGAGTCGTGGAGAAACGGAAACGGCGGCAGACTTCCTCCGGACTGTTTCGACAAGTATAAGGTCACCGACATCCAAAAAATCGCGTTGAAAGTCGGAAAAGGCACAATGCAGTGGTCGAGCAGTGAAGATCACTCCAAATGGGCCGTCGGTGATCGTGGTCAATGGATCTGTTTGGGTTCGATTAATAGAATGGTAAGCAGACACCTCAGTTCTTTTTCGTAGTCCCCGTTCGGCTCTAACTACGGAGTCGCAGTCGTTCGCTTTCGTGAAATACAATTAACCCCCTGCCCTCTCCCGCAGCTGTCGCAATTCAAGCGCGGTGGAGAGACGATGTGCTTCCAGAATCTCGGTGTGCACCAACTGTTCCGGAGTGCAATGGCGGAATTCACACCTTGCGCCCTCCAGAGCTCAAACCCGAGAGGACGATCCCAAGTCCTCGAATATATAATTGAGCGAGATGAAGACGAGGAGCATGAGAAGAGAAAAGAGCGCCATCGAGACAGAAGAGGCAGAGGAAGAAGATAGTGACTGGAATCAAGGGACTCCAATCGATTTGACGACCACCCTGGAAAGCCAAACCATCCGCATCGTTTTCGAACGAGCAATATCTAAGGACCCCGACAGTGTCTTCTATAGAAGGCGATCGCTTCTCCGCGTTGATGTACAACCATATTTATCCAAGATCAAAGAACAAGCATGATGAAATATAAACAGAAGAAGGGTATCCCCCGTGTGTCACATGTCTTCCTCGAATCGTAAATCACCAGATCTTCGCGTATCCGTGATCGTGGCCGCCGGCGTGTCTGTGCTTACCGAACTCGCTACCGTAAGCGGGGCGAGAGCCACCGGACGCGATCTCGGCGAATCGGATGGGAGCGAAGGATCCACCGATAACGGGGCCAGCTCCGATTTTTTGGAATGAGCCGGCTATGATCGGAGCGGCGATCTTGTCGATAGCTGGGGCGGCGATATCTTTGTACCCAAATTCATCGAGACCGGATCCGAATCCTCCGTGAACAGCGATATGAGCGGCGGGGAGATCGTTCTCAGCGACCAGGACGGAGGCAAGGGCTTTGCTCATGATTGGAGCGAAGTGAATGGCGCGCGTGGTCACGGCTGAACTAGAGATAATGGGGAAGGATACTTTCTCGATAGCGGGAGCTCCGAAGATTTCGCGTCCGTGCGCGAAAGAGCCGTGACTTTTACCATCGAAAGAGAATTCAGGTCCGTTCCTGATAGAGCCAGCTTGCGTCGACGCTATGAGAACTGCGAGGATGGCGAGCTGGAGGAGGAAAGGACTTTAGGGACGGAACGAATCGCTTGAGGCGGCTCTTCCTAGAGAGCGAGAACTTCGTCAGTCGGAACAGGAGAAGAAGAAACTTTGAACAGTCCAGAGATTGTTCGAGGCTCTCCGATGAAGCCTACTCACTGCAATCATGTTGAGAAGTCTACTTGAAGATGCTGTTGGTGTTCAACGAGCTTGTGACTCTTCTTTAAATACCTAGGGTCATCGGCTCAAACGGCGAGAATCGATGCAAATAGATTTCCACTCACACCTTCAATGAATACGAGAAGTATAACTTTGCATTAGTCTGACGTCGGTCGATGCTAGACACGACTCACAACCCAGATTTTGAGGGAGGAGACTCGGCTGAAAATGATGACGCGCCTCTCCGAGGTCCATCCTCGGCATTATGACCAATTTTTTCCTCCGGTCTCTCGGTACTCATAATGCTCTCCACTCAAGAAAACTTATGTCTGGTCCCGGTTGTTCGCAGGGTTGTAGGCTAAGAAATTCCGGGGTCCCCGAGATCGGACATGCGGGGACCTGGTCAGAGCCCGAGAGCGCTTATCCTCGCGGGCAGTTGGGGAAGAACCCATTTGGAGACCCTTCCGAGATATCTTCCGAGAACTACCTGGGCCGGAGATCCAGGTGCCGTGTCGGTGTCGCGGAACAATCAAGCTCGCAGATAGATGATCCAGGCTAGAGCCATTAGGCCTTCAAGATCCTATCGGGGAGGCGGGTTGCCGCATTAACGTGATTCTCAGAGTTTCTATCCTGAATCTCGCGGTTCAGCAGCGACCTCTACCAAAGGCGGGAAGGTAAAGGATCTCGAGCAGACGGGCTCATCCTGATCCCTCGAGGTCAAATCCTCTATTTTCCTGATAAAAAATATTGACTGGCTCGGTTTTGAGCGTGGGGAAGCAGCCGAGCTGCGCTGTCATGAGAAATCGTGTTGACAAGGGAGATTCTCGAACCTCTCGCAAAACGCAGGAGTCAACGAGACATTGCGCAGAAATCAATAATTTCAGCCGAGCCGGCCATACCGACCCGAGATCCGGCAGCTTGGCGCGAGAGGTCAGCTTTCGTTTCGCAAACTCTCATCAATCGGGCGAGCGACCTTCTGCCCTGTCACAGACGCGATCGTGTCCCGGGAATGTGAGTGGTATGCTGAGCTCCAAAGGCAGGATCTTGCGCGAAGTCGCCGAGAATGAGCGCCATGTTATGTACTGGTTCTTTTCTCGAGCGTACTATGTGGATCGCTCCTTCTTTCGTATTTTGCAAGCTTCGATCTCGAACGTTGTTGTCTTCTCCTCCCCAGTCTTGAGCCCTTCATGGCCTCTCGGTCTCACGGGAGAAGCACCGAGGTCGCCTTCAACGCTCATTCGATTGAAGATCGTAAGGGAGCTCCGAAACGACGCGTTCAGTGGATCATTTGGCGCGGCAACATTCTCATATAGAATCGGCTTCCAGCTACACCCCATCGATGAAAATCGAGCAGAACTAGCGTACCCGGCCGCGCTGCGCTGCGGCTAAAGAAAATGTATGAAATAATGGCGATAATACTATGACTGACAATAGATAGAGATCAACATATGTCGTGATTGAAAATTAAATCAAATTCTTCATTCTGGGACACCAATACTGCTAAATAATAGTTTCATTTCTGCGTGTCAAGATCTCGACACGCAAGATTCTGTGGCGAGCTCACGTCGTAGACGATAACCATAAGATCTACAGTCTTGTTCGCTTCGATATGTATTTTCAAGCTCGGCGATGGTTATGTTCTTCACAGTGGCTTTCGGTAGATCTTTTCCCTCGACTGGTTTTATCTGAGTAATAATCTGCGGAGAATCGGATCCAGTGGAATGCCGGTGGAATGATTGAAATGAATTGAACGCCAACCGACGTATGTGAGTACTGATCGGAATCACGCTTGATTGAATCACCTTATCGATCTGTATTTCACTCGGGTGTTTCGTTTTGTTGTAGAGTTGGCTACTCGGCTTTAACTGGAACGCATGGAACTGATAACACTCCCCGATCTTTATCATCTCATCGAGAACGGAACAGACACCACCTGACGCGACAACTGTATTTTCGATTACAAAGGAGAGAAGCGTTCCTTCGTGTTGATCTTTCTTCCAATTTTTGACCACTCCTCTCGACTGTACACGACCTTGTACAGTTGTACGAGCGATCCACATAGTACGCTCGAGAAAAGAATCAGTACGTAACATGGCGCTCATTCTCGGCGACTTCGCACAAGATCCTGCCATTGGAGCTCAGCATACCGCTCATATTCCTTGCTTCGATAGGTTTAGAGAATTCAGCAGAAGAGGTTTCGTTGCCGTCGGTCCTTCACCGTCCGTAATTCCTATGTGAACCAACAACAAACAACACTACTATATATAGATCGATCGATATCATCGGGATTCCCGATGATTGTCCGCCTCAGATTTTAGCTTTCGTGGCACAAGGCACAGGCATTCCTGTCACAGATCCTTCACGGGATTCGTGTAATTCGGGATTCCTTCGCCAAGTAAGCTTCATCGTTGAGCGAAAAAACGAACTTCGTTCCTCTCTTTCACAGGGGATCAGGCGAATTCGCGGTCGAATTCGAATATTTTCTTATCCTGTATTTCTCGATAATTTCCATAGATTCATTCATACCCGTCATTCTCTCTTCGATAATCCACGTATCCGATTCATATACGGTTTCATCATTCTCGTGTGATAACCGGTGTCCCCATGTTCTGAGTGTATCTGATCGTTTTTCGGGATTATTCGAGAGTCGAGAGCTTGCGGATAGACTATGTTTTTTGTGTCACCGTTCATTGCGTAGTCGTATATCGTATAGATCCGATGGCTTGCTGACCCTCGAGCATGCAACATACAGTTGCCCAAGAGGAAAACATAAGTTCGACAGGTTCCGACCGCATATTTCCAACGTTTGGCCCGGTGCCTTGTTCATGGTCATCGCGAAATCGAGACGCACTGGGAATTGCAAGAGTTTGAACTCAAACGGCATGTCTGTTGTTATTATTGGTGTGCGTGGTAGTAGTACGTCTTCTCCTCTGAATTTACCATTCAAAATTGACGCTTCTATGAGATTTCCCGTGAGTGTTTTCACCGGGGTGCCACCGGTCGAGCTCGGGGTACAAATCCGATAGAATAAGTGTGCACAAACGCCCTGGTCGGGGGCAACTGTCAACTTCTTCACTCGCATCGATTAAATACTATCTATCGGGAGCAATGAGGCAATGAGCTCCCATATTGACTCTGCAGCTTTTAAGGCTGTTTCAATTTGGCGTGTAACGTTTTTGACCCTTACTCGAGCCATATCAGGATATGGAGCCAGAGTTGTCGCTATTGCTTCCTCGTCCCGACCCATATCTTAACCTCACTACCTAATACAGGACTTCCGTTCCCATTCCCGATGGGGAATATCGGCTCGCCTCGGGGATTGAACCCGATACCTCCCCAACGATGGCAAGTTGCACCGGCATCGGGAGCGCTTATTACTCGGCCACCACGCGGGGTTTTCACGGGGAATTTTTTCGTCATTGGCGATGTAGAATCGTGACACTATTCCCGTAGAACTGCTCCAGGCTCTCGGCTGAGTGAGCAAGGAGTCGATGCGCTCTCACAAAGGAAGTCTGAGCAGGCGCGCCAGAATTTGAATAATTCTCGGAAAGAACGATGACGACTTGCATGACGACTCGGTTGTTTTCGGATATCGACAAGGAATATTGGGATGAAATTCGACTGACGGCTCCGTCTGTCGATGGAAAATATTTTGCTATCACATGAAGGCCGCAGAACCTTCCGGGAGAAAATCGCGTGATTGAAATGAATGCGTCGAAACTTTTTAGCGCCAAAAAGTTTCGGCGCATTCATTTCAGCTGAAAATCTAGTTGGACCTTAACATGGATAAGTTTTGAGTCGCAGCTAGATGAAGACGAAAGCATCGTCATGGTCAACTTCATCGTCGGCATTGCTTCCTTCGTGCTGGCTCCGAAAATCCTACCTGGTCGGAAACGCGATTTTCTCCCGGAAGCTTCTACGGCCTTAATGTGATGGCAAAACATTTTCAATCGACAGACGGAGCCAAATTTCATCCCGATATTCCTTGTCGATCTCCGAAAACAACCGAGAATCGTCATGCAAGTCGTCATCGTTCTATCCGGAAATTTTTCAAATTCTGGCGCGCCTACTCGGACTTCCTACTTAGCGCATCGAC